ATATAATATATATTTATACATATTTTGAATATATTTACATACATCCAGCACCTATATACTGCATTTGTGCTCTGTAAGTGTGTGCCAACATATATTTTCTCCAAATATTACAAAATAAACAAGAAAGGCAGACCCAGAGTTTGCCTCAAGTCCAACTGGTCCATTGTACAAACAAAGTCTGTCGCAGCTTTCAGGAAGCCAGAAAAATGATAGCGGTGGGTATCTGGACACAGCTCATAAACATTCTTCTGTGTTGGGAATATTTAGAAGTCGCAAATTATGAGATTCTTTATGTAGGTTCTGACTGCTTTCCTCCAAGTTTTTTTTTCTCCTTTTTGTGTTTTTTTTTCCCCCATATTTCATATGTACAAGCAGAAACATTAAGGTCCTGGAGAAAAGATTCTTGTTTTGTATGTGTCAGGTAGCTTGATGTTCTTGTTTCTTTACTCCTCTGCATGATTTCTTTTCATGTTTTAACACTTCCATTCATGTGTTGGTACTTGGGAAGACAAGGTTCATAAGGCATTGGATCGGGAGAAAAAACAGAGTCATCACCTGAAGAACACGAACTTCTCGTGTCAGGGTAACTAGGTGAATACTGTTCGAGAGGTCCACTGAGGTCCAGATACTCCTAGGACAAAAGAAATAAATTGCATTTTTAGACAGTGAGTAAAACTGATGATAATATGTTCCCACTGCTCTGATTTGGCTTGATTATATAGTGAGTAAAAGAAAGGTTTAAAAATGACACTCATTTTTTTAACACTCATGATTTCTGTAATGCAGTTGCATCCAAAACTGCCTGTTGCTTAAATATCTCCTAAAATGAGGAGCTTGAATAGAGAAAGAAAAACCAAACCAATAACACGGCACTTTTCTGAATTCCAACATCACCAGTATTAGCCGCGTCAGTGGAAATAAACATGCCAACCACATCAAAAGGAGACTTTTCACTCGCAATGATAAAAATGAAATTTCATCCTAAATAGAACCATTTTTCTTTAGCACATGGTAATGATTTGGAGAGGGAAAGATACTTCCAACTTTGTATTCCTTTGGTCAGTTTGAATATCTGTTTTATATTCTGTGATATTAAATTTGTGTTCAAACATGCAAGGGCATATGTGCAAAAAAGAACTGAAAGGAAAACAAAATTAAATTCACTAGGTTTGGGTTTTTTACACTACATGTTCATATGTGTGTGTGTGTGTGTCCCAGAGTAGCCATGACCAAAGCAGTCATTAAAAAAGGAAATAATATCTGCTGAATCCAAGTTTTTGGTTAAAGCTCTTTTGCTAGAAACAACAGTTTTGGCAGGAGAATAAAGTTATTTTTCCCCTTGAAATGTTCCTTCTCTTTCAACTTCTGAAGGCAGCTGCATTCATTTAAATGCAATCTCTTCATTTGCTAAACCACAAGTTATGATTGTACTGATGAGACAATTCTTCCACCTCAGTCAGTATTTTATGCTGCTGTGCTTGGGTTTGGGGTAATTTCGTTCTTGGTTAACATATTTTTAAGTCAGAAATTCAATCATTACCATATTGTCGTTAAAATTGGTCACCATTTTAAAAGAGGGGAGGAAGGAAAGTTTTAAAATGCTGACAAATACAGGAGGCAGCAAGAGAAGTTAGTCTCGATCTATGATTACTGCCTGTCTTGCTCCCTCGGCTTTTAGAAGAGACATGAGGACGCTCTTGACACATATTTATGTATTAGCAAACCAGTCCTATGTGAGCAGAAATAATCAACTACTTTCTAGATAGACAGAAGAAGAATGTATTCCAGTATTTGAAGAAACAGGGCTTTGTCATGGGATATCACTCATGGCTCGTCACATCAAAAGACTTAGAATCATAGAATCATAGAACAGCTTCAGTCGGAAGGGACCATGGAGGTCATCTGGTCCAACCCCAATGAAGTAAGGAGGGGTATCTTCCATTAGATAAGGTTGCCCAGAGCCCCATCCAACCCGACCTTGAATGTTTCTAGAGACAGGGCATCTACCACCTCCCTGGGCAACTTGATATAATTCAGTAATGAATTCAGTATTGGAGGTGGGACCCTTATCCTCTCTCCAGCCTCCTTATCTAATGTCAAGGGCCAGAGTCACATAAAGGGGCATAAGAAATTTCCAGTATCAGGATGGTTCCTGGTGTTGATATAATGACACAGCCATGAGGCTGACACTCGGTGACTTGTGCAGGTAGGGAAACGTTGCACGCTGCTCTGGGAAACATGGAGAATAGACTCTTCTGGGGGGAAAAAAAAAAAAACAACAAAAAACTCCCCCCCAAAAAAACAAACACCAACCAAAAAACCCAACAGGTGATTATTCAGCATGGAGAACAGCAAGACATGACCCCTGAAGCAGAAATAATTACTTGTACAAATGAGGGAGGAGATACTGCCGGTTGCCTTAGCAATTCTTGAGGTTGTTGGGCAAACCAGGCTGACACTGTATCAACAGGGTCATTTTGGGAGGAAAGGCAAAGTGCCACTGTGGAGAGGATAAGCAGAAGTATTGTCACGCTGATGTATGAAGGACAAAAATCAGAGGTCCCAAGAGCTATGGAGGAAAAGGGGACGCACTGGAGTCCTCAGCAGACACTGAGTGAGAACATGACAAGTTTTCAGGAACATAAAATGTGCTGCAAAGACGAGTGACATAATTTGCTTTCTATGTCCAGGGTAAATAGGGCAAAAGCAATATCTTATGTTGAAATATTAGAGGTTAGGAAAAACTTTCAAGAAGGATGGCTAATGAAACAAAGCAATAGATTGTCAAGGGGTGATGCAGAAACACAGCAGTGGAGATCTTTAAGGACAAGTTACATAAACATTTGTCAGGAATGACAAACGTATAGTGGATCCTGCCATAGGCTGATGAGATGGACTAGATGTGTTCCTGAGCTTTTTCCAGCCGTTTTTTTCCTATGATCCTAGTCAAAAGTAATTTACATAACCCTAAAGGCCTTTTCAGGTTACCTTTGAGATCATTCCAGGTCCATGAGCAGTACCAGAACTGGGAAGGCAAGATGGTTAAACACACACAAAAAAAAGAAAGCAATATCCTCTCCAAGGCTCAGAATCGCAGCCCAGAACCTCCCTCTTGAATTTGCAAATTCATGTCCAGTCCAAGAGACCTAGCACTCTGCAGTGGCAGGCAGCCCACCTCCAACTGGTCTTGTGAAATCATACACAAATTAGGCAGGGAAAGATGCAGTCAGTACTGGACAAGGGGAAAATGGTAACAGTATGCAGAGCTACGTTACCAGCTCCATAGGGAGCACGTATTCCTGCCTCATCTCTGAGCCATTCCTGAAAGTGCTACTTCTTAGAGTAAACCCTACAAAACAGAATCCAGATAAATTTATGGTTGCTACCGAAGCCAAATAGTCTTTTTTCAATTGGATCTGCTGGGCAAATGATGATCAGAAAAAATGGCACCTCTTCACTCAGGTTCTCCTGTCATCTCTATTGCATACAGACTTTCCTAATGCTGCTTAATAATCCATTTGTTATTTCATAGAGTCATAGAATCATAGAATGGTTTCGGTTGGAAGCGACCTTAAAGATCATCTTGTTCCAAACCCCCTACTACTTCTCTGACAATTCTGAAAAACTAGAAAGTAATGTTGGGGGCTCATATAAAGTGATCCAAACCTTTTTTCTTCCTTTCCCCCCCTTATAAAGAAGTGCTCTAATCATAGCAAATCTGAAAAATGGGTTTTGAAATGGTCAAAACAAGCTGTTGCGAATTTTCTCTCTAAGTGTTTTGTTCTCTTTTTTTCCTCCCGTGATACATATCACTTCTCAGAAATGATAGGAATCTGTAAAATGTTTCTGGGACACCAAGCTTTTTCTCTCAAAAGAAGTTTCCACCAAAAGAATCAACATTTCCATCACTTGTGATATTCCTCAAAGGTGCATGTGATTTACTGATAAGAGAACTGATTCCTGTGTGAATACCCTAATCAATGTGTGCTAAAACTAATAATATCCCAGATCTCTGAAAGAATGCTCTTCAAATAAAACCTTTTCGCATTCATATATCCCAACCTGAAGCAGCGTTAGGCAGAGCCTTTGGATAATTGGATGGCTGTTCGCACGTTCCCTGTGGGTCCTTGTTCCCTCCACAGAGATATATTTCAGTGAACCTAATTCACTCTCAGACATATAATCTGCAATCTACCATTGACGATTTCTCCTCTTCTGACCTAGATATCATGGGCTGGGAATCAAACTGAGTCGATAAATGAAAAACACCAGGAACTCCACATCTCTCCTTCATGTGAAACTCATGCTGAAACGTAAACACTGCCTCTCAACCTGCCACGTGTACTCCCTCGATACTGCTGTACTAAAAATATTAAAAGATGCAATGAGAAATAAACAAAAACACTTTAAAGTTGTGTTTCTGTTTAGCTACATAAATCAAGGCATAATGGCAAGAACCCGAGGATTTCATAGGATACATAGTTTAGCTGCGTGTAACCTCAGAGGACAACAACAAACAGAACGAGAAGAGAACTTGAGCAGGATTTCATAACTGAATAAATTCCATCTGTCTCCTGAACCATTTGTCCTGACCAGCAGCTTATGGAGGGAAACAATTTACCTACCTCATTAGTTGTGAGAGTGAGAATCCGATCCAAGTCTTCTACCAACTGTTTGAAAGTCGGTCTCTGTGAAGGCACAGCATGCCAGCAATCTCTCATCATCATATAGCTGTAAGAAATACATATTTTATTGGCTTAATTAAAATCACGCGTCCTTCTTTTAAACCTTTTTCATACACAGTCAATGTTCTTCATCACAAGCAAAGCAGCAAGAACCCACAGCCCTACACATGGACTGCTGGCTTTCCCAAAATTGTGCAATATTCCTCCCTTCCCTCAAAGGTGCACTTCTACTCCTGTATCTCCCTTGCCCAGTGTTCAAATTACCTTGTTGTGGACCCAATTCAGTAGACTTCAGTCCCGGGAATTTAAACGGTACTAAATTACACATGCTTAAATATTTCTGCTCATTAGGGAGTGCAATCGTTGTGAAGTGAAGAAATTAAAACAAGCAAAAAAACATAAAAACAGTCAAGGGCTGTACTGAAATATCAGAAAGAGAAACCACTCTCCCCTTATCATCACCACAAGATAATGTTGTGTTAATACATATGTTCCCAAATGCATTTTGTTGTGCACAACACCAGCCTGATATATCTTACATATGACTAGTGGTAGGTGTGCCATTTAGGAATTTTCATGTTAATAAGATTAAAATGAAACAAACACAAATGTAAAAAAACTGTCAAAGACGGACTTGTAGGGGATCTCCTTTTCCGCACCCCCCCAATGGGATCACAGCAGGATGTGTACAGAATACCTCTGTCAAACATTTCCTGAAGATCTTCTCCTATCTTTTCTTTACATATCTATACACACATCCACAATTTTAGATTCAGGCAACTCTAAAAATGTTTGATTCTGCTGGGGGCAGCATTAACCGTGTGAATTCAGTACAGTTTGTGTCCTCCCATCCTGGTACAGGAAAATAAGGATCCTTACAGTTCATTGGTGCAGTTGGCAGGTTTATCCATTCGGTGCCCTTCTTTCAGCAGCTTAAAAAGTTCCTCCACTGGGATTCCTGGGTAAGGCGATCCTCCTAACGTGAAGATCTCCCACATTAACACACCAAAGGACCAACTACAAATCAAGAAGAAAACTGCATTAGTAGATCTGCCTTACTGTTGGAAACAAAGATGTGTCTGTAGCAGATGCAGTGACTGACAGTCCCTCTTAGGAGATGCTCAAATCAGCATCTGCCCAACTCCTGCAGCCTTGAGCGGGACATCAGTCTGCAAAGTGCACCAGGTCTATGGGCAGCAATAGGGATTGACCTGAGCATGTCCTCAAACACACCCTTTGCCTTTGTCGGGTGTGCTCCAAGCACCCGAGTTTCCAAGGCTTTTGCAAAGAACTGAGTCTTCAGTACTTAATTATTTACAGAACGCTCACAGCTGAGCTGGTTTGCAATTATGTGGCCGGATATTTTGGAAAAAGCAGGCTGTTCAAAACAAAAAAACATTGTGCATCACTCTGCTTTTCTTTTTGTTTTATTAATTTTTATTAGGAAACTAAGGAGGACAATTCTGAAGCCAGTTTTCCTGCCTGCTTGCCACCTCCTCCAGAGCCAGCCTCATCACGCCTTGCTGGCAACCTGGGGCTCTTTGGCAAGCGGCTTTGCCAGGTGAGCAACAGCACACAGCTCGCACTGGCTCCCGAGCTGCTCTGCAGCTCTCCCAGCTTTGCAGCAGGGTGTTTTAGTAAACTGTTTGCACAAACTTACAATAATATTATCTTTAGCCATCTTCAAAGCCACTTTGGGGCCAAGAGCCTCCAAGTTCCAGCACCGAAATCCTTGTGCTCCCTGGCTGCTAAGGAGCTCAGAATGACTTTCAGTCCTGAGCCAGTGAAGTCATTTACTTCACATTCACTTCAATATTTTGCCAAGATGTTATTTTAAGCCAAAAGTTTGATCCACCCTTAACCTGTGTATATAGTTTCCTTTGTAAATAATGCAAAGATTGCTGGAAAAGCCTCAGTAAACACTTTTCTTAAGAAGAGAGCACCTCAGGAAGTGCACCCAGGTTAAAGAAAGACGAGATACCTCTTACTTTCTCCACCCTGCCCTTTTTCTTTTTAACCCTGCACTGACATGCATAACCTTTTACACCTGTGCCGGGAAGCATCCAGCCCTTTACAGTTAACAGCTTTTCTTGGAGAAATAAAAACCAGAAGATATTCATCTGCATTGCATAAAAAAATACACGTCTACTTCAAGCACAATGCAAGCAAGTACTGTAGATGGGCCTAGGAAACTGTAATAGGAAGCAGAATAAATCCTGAGCGGTTGCATCAGCCAGCAGCTCTGTGCACACATTAAAAGATTTTTGAAGTGTCAGAGTCCAGTGATTTCCTATTACATGTGAAGTACTGCTGGGAAGCAACACCACTTATAAAAACCAGAGAAAACTTTTACAGTATATCCAGACTATGCTTTAGTATATCTAATTTTAGCACAAATGTTTATAACAAATTCTCAGGAACTTTCTTTTCTTTCTTTTCTCTCTCTTTTTTTTTTTTTTTAATTTTCTCTCTCTTTTTTTTTTTTTTTTTAAACCTGAAGGAAGTTCAGAGTATGTCAAAAGCCAAGCAAATTAGATAGACTCTTTGTAGCTGCACATCCGTAAATAAGTTCAAGGGGGGAAACTTCCGCACTGACATAAGGAGGTTAGCATTTTCCACCTTTCATGTGCTTTGAAGCTGGGCAGATTAGTAACAGAGCACTGGTTAGCAGTCTACCATAAAATCCTCACTTTCTAAGGGCAAGTCCTGTTCCATCTATTAATATGTGAAACAGAATGAAAATGCTTGAAAGTAAAGGACAACAGGAAAAGACATTTAAAATTTCACAAATTTTAATAAATACAAACCAAAACAACCCCCCCCTTTCCCACCCCCCAAAGCCCCATTCGAATAAGGCCACTTACACATCACTTTGATGCGTGTAAACTCTGTCAAACAGAGCTTCTGGAGCCATCCACTTCACTGGAAGCCGTCCCTGTAAGTTTGGAGGGGAAGAGAAGAAAAATTAAAATAGTAGCAATTTACAGCATGATTTCAACACCAATTTTTTTTAGAAGACTAATCAGTTCTCAGAGAACAGTCTGTTAATGCAAACCAGCACACAATTTACCTTTAAAATTTTCAGGGAAAACAAAATAAAGTGGGGTAAATTGGGAAACGGAGAAAAGTGCAAAATGGATATAAATATTGAAGATAAAATTAAAAGCACTGAGGGCTCTCAAATAGTTCCCAGGCTACTTTCTGGTAGAATGACAGGATAAGGAGATCAAAATTTAAAACGTCATTCCACTATGGCTCTTTAAAGACAAAAAAACTCATCAATAATTCTCTGAAGAACAGGCCTGCCTGCAAAAATAAGTTTGATCACTCAACCCAAGAATTTTCTTTTCCTCTTCCAGCTTTTGCAGTGGCCCAAAGCTCGCACAGTCACAACTGCCTGTCCCTGCTCAGAACCCAGGAATTGGATAAAATTTGACAGGAAGAAGGTTCAGTTCGCTCCAGTACCAACCTACCCATGCCTGGTTGCTCTGTCTTTTGGAAGTAGGCAGATATTACCATTGAAACGCTGTTAATAATAATAAATATAAGTACAATACAGTAATAATAAAGCACTTAGTGCTTTATTTTCACAGATAAGCCACTTAACATGGTTGTTGATAATATTTAATATTTATACAAAACATTAAAGTCTGTAGAACGGAATGAATTCTGCAAAGTTCCCACCTAAACCCAAGTGTAGTTCATTGGGAACTTAAGAGATCCCCTGAGAAGGAGGTGTAAGCTATTCAAACCAATAGCTACATCTGAAATGTTCTGTCCTGTTGATTTGGCACCAGTTAAAGAGGAAAACCATGACAGAGTGGAGAGTAAAAATTCATTTTCTCAACCTCTAGCCCCACTTTGATACTACCGCCATCACTTGTACATAACAAGCTAAGTACAGGCAAAAGGCACAGAGCTGTACGTGGAATTACTACACTTAAGGATTTTTACTGTGGTTTTTGTTAGCACTGTTTATACAGCATTTTTCAAGATCCTTGGCTTGGTACAAAATGAGCTGGAATCAAAAGGAGCGTTTCTACTTATTTCAAGTGATTGAAGTCATGGACACACTAAAACAACTCTTGTATTTTAGCATTTCTAATATATCACACAATATACAGCCTCTTTCGTTATCTTTTTAACTAACTGTCACTGTAAAAGGTGACAGAAATGCTTGTGTCTTTGATCCCTGTTTTCTGTCTGTGATGAAAAGTGAGGCTGCTGTACAAGAAGTCCATTAAGTTTATAATCATTGTTTGGAAGTGAATCATTGAAAGAAAAGTTTGTTTCCAGAGATAAGAAAACCATTCACTTACATTAGTAGTCTTTTTATAATAATCTATGTTGTTGATGTCTCTGGCTAAACCAAAGTCTGCTATTTTCATGACATTATTTTCAGTTACCAAAACATTTCTTGCAGCCAAGTCTCGATGGATACACTGGAAAGATAAAGAAAAAAGGCCCACTGAAATAGACTGTTGTAAAAGTGAAATTACTTCTCCACCATAACTAAGTCTCCTTTACAGATTTTAACCTAAATCACAAGGTGGGAAAGCCACACGTTTACTACAAGCCTGTGAAATATGAATGCCTTAATTACTGCAATCCATCCCCTCAGTTGGTGTTTCAAAGTTGAACAGCCCCAAGAAGCTTCTTAGAAAAGCCTGGCTTATTTGAGAGTTATATTTTGCTAAGGCTGGAAGCTTGGGTGGTGACCCAACGTCTGCCAAGCTGTTTGTGATTCATTCTCCATTACACGTGGCCAGGTTCAGGTATTGCAGCACTTTAATTGCAAATACTGTTAATGAGCATTTTAGTATGCTGCTTCTCTTAAATTATATTTTCTCATCAGAGCTAAAACCTGACAGTCTGGATCAGTGTAACTGTTTTTAATATAAAAGATCTCAGTATGAGATATACCCACAGTACATAATGTTAAAATACATGTCTAGGGTGTGTGTATTGCCTTCAACCATGAGACTACAACAATTTAATTTTGAAGAAGAAAAAAAAAATATATAATCTGGGCTGGGCTGTGTGGTTTTTAAACAATTTTGACACTGAAACTAAAAATGTTATCTCCTTGGAGATTTTTCCTTCATGTCAGCATTATCCTGAAAACTTGCGCAACTGATTCTTGACACTGAAAGGACATTGTGACTGCTCTGAATATTATTCCTGTGTTTCAGCAGCCTTATTATGGTTGATACCAGGTGCCGGCCAGGGCATGGTAAGAGACATTGCATTTGGAATCCCCCCAGGATATTCTACTTCTTTTCAAGTTAAATATCCTTTCTTTTCCTCCTCAATTCTGGATTACTCTTTATGTTGTCCTCTTTATTTCAGCATGTGCATAGACATGCTGGACTGAACCACTACAAAAAACTGTACAACAGCCAATTTCTTTCTTGCATTATAAGTTGCCCCAGCAATTTTCTGAGATCTCTTATCCTGCAGGGGTAACATGAGCCTCCAAAGCTTCTGCTCCTCACTGGGTTAGCCATGGGGAACTGCCAAGAAAAACCTGCTCCAGCAATGCCTTCATGTGCACAGGACCAGACAACAGCACACGCCTTCAGCATCAAATCAGTCTTCTAATTCAGCATCAGCAATGCTACGTGTCCTGGTTTTGGCTGGGACAGAGTTAACTTTCTTCCCAGCAGCTGGTGTGAGGCTGTTTGGGTTTGTGCTGAGGAGAAGCTGATCACACACTGACGGTTATAGTTGCTGCCAGGACAGTCAAGGACTTTCCAGCTTCTCTGCTGTGCCAGTGTCTGCAGGGGCAGGAGGAGCTGGGAGGGAGCACAGCCCCAAGTACTAGCCTAGGATTCAAGCTTAGGTTTAGGATTGAGACCCAAATTGGACAATGGTCTATTCCATATCATGCACGTCATGCCCAGTGTATAGATAAGGTTCTGTCTGGAAGTTCTACCCCACTCCTCTCTCTGAGTTGCCCCTCTCTCAGGGTTTTCTCTTGCTTTCTTGGTCATCTCTGGCTCTCTTGGATGCTCGGGCTCTTATTTCTTCTCCGGGATTGCAGTTTCGTGACTCTCTCTGCTCCGGGATCATTAGCTGGGAAGGGGCTGAGTCTTGGTCATTGGGTGGTAAGAAGTGTCACTGTGTACCACTCATTTGTATATTTGTATAAATTACTATTATTATAATCATAATTATTTTCAATTTTATTGTGGTTTAGTT